AGTGGGGTGATGGTAGTTCGAAGTCAGAAGTCAACTGCCGAATAATAAACGTTTTTGCCGTATGAATATACGTTGCCCAGCCCTGCATGGGAAAAGTAGTTTTTCAAGAAAGATTGTGTGGAGTGACGTTTCCATATTCTAGTCAAATTTTTGCATTAACCGCTATAATTTTTCCTATTGGGGACCCAAGAGTTCACACGTCACTATTGACTGTCATGCCAATCTACTTGGAATTACAGCATGGTGCGGTCCTACTTACTTGAACTGTTTGCAGCAGTCTGTCATGCCAAGCATTAGAGAAGACTTTGAAAATAAATAGTTTTATTTTCAACAAGACGGGGTGCGTGATAGACTTACCTCCATGTGGTGCACCCTGAGCAACGTATACTCATACGGCAAAAAAGTCTATTATTCGGCAGTTGACTTCTCGCTTTAAACAACCATCACCCCCACTGTATGTCATATTTAACTAATTCCACAGTGCTCACCTCACCTTTTTTCTGCCTTTGTGTCTGTCTCTTTTACATCTTTGAATATCTCTTCTGCTCCCCCTCTCGAATTTTTCCCACTTTGTTGTTCCTTCCTCTCTGTGAAGCCTGAAGCCATTTGATATAAATAAATTTCATGGTGTGTACAATTCTATTGCTTGGCGTTGTCAACAGTGTCTGGACCAAAATGGACGTCAGTTTGAGAACAAGAAATGAAAAACAACAAAATCATACTTGTAACATTATAAAATTCTAATTGAACTCCACGTTTGCTATTAGTTTCAACGTGTATACATTTTTTGAGACACTCGGTATAAAGTTGAGGCGCTTATGTTTTGGGTTGAACAAATTTCATTCCTGTTTTTATTTTTGGCCATTTTGAGTGACACGAGTTTGCGGCCACGTTCAATTAATACATTTAAAATATTCCCGAATACAATTTGTCCCGAAAATTCAGCGATTCTTAACAGCTCAATTTGTGCGCATCTTGAACTTATGGGAAATTGAATGGTAGGGCTGTATGCATTCGACCACGGAATGAGTCACCGATGAATGGTATCCGATAAAGTCCCTAAGTCTGTCTTAGCAGACAACCAATCACTATTGCCCTCGTGATGTGAAATGGCGGCAATTCCTTCGTCCAATTATCGCATTAACGCAGAAATTCTTTTTACTAAACTCCATATAAACCGAATCAAATAATAGATTTGGCATCTAAAGCATTGAATTAACTAACCATGTTAGTTTAATGCAAATGTTACTGAGATGAGATGCAATCACTGAATAACATAGCATGTCTAACTTGCAAGTCTTTTAAAAGTAGAAAAGTGCTTTTCAAGAAGACTTAGAAATGAGGATAGTTGCCTAAAATAAATCAAAATTTCTCAAAATTTTTCTTATAGTAAACAAAAACTGTGAATTATTGGCCCTGTGCAGTGTTAACTGGCTTGATATGTTGGTTGCCAAAGTCCTGTCAGCCCAATCAATAATCTTTCCCTTCGAATGCACATGCACACAGGCGCACATACAGATAGCGGGTGGGTTATTGATTAATCATCCAGGCAGTCCTGCCTTACTGAATCGCCATATTTGGCTATGTTAACGCCATGTGTGCCCAAGTCTGCATCACCTGAGGGGAACCAATAAGTAGTCTTGTAACTGCACCTTTCCCAACCAATCCTCATTGGAGAAGCCATATATGCCCAAGGAGGAGGTATTTAAGGCAGTGTCTTTGTAAATTTCCCCGGATTTTGCGCGTACTAGCACTTTCAAATTAACAGCTATGGGAGACGAAGAAGTTCAGGCTCTTGTTGTAGACAATGGTTCCGGAATGTGCAAAGCTGGCTTCGCCGGTGATGATGCTCCTCGTGCCGTGTTCCCATCTATCGTCGGCCGCCCTCGTCACCAGGTACTTGAAATTTCTTCATTTTCCCTCCATTATCTCATAATGAGGTAACTTAATGCTTTGACTGCGTTTTTAGGGTGTCATGGTCGGTATGGGTCAAAAGGATAGCTACGTCGGCGATGAAGCCCAATCTAAGAGAGGTATTCTCACTTTGAAGTACCCCATTGAGCACGGTATCGTGACAAACTGGGATGATATGGAGAAGATTTGGCATCACACTTTCTACAATGAGTTGCGTGTTGCTCCTGAGGAACATCCCGTGCTCCTTACTGAAGCCCCACTTAACCCAAAGGCTAACCGTGAAAAGATGACTCAAATCATGTTCGAGACCTTCAACACTCCTGCCATGTATGTCGGTATCCAAGCCGTGCTTTCTCTTTATGCCTCTGGTCGTACCACAGGTATCGTCCTGGATTCTGGTGATGGTGTTACTCACTCCGTCCCCATCTACGAAGGTTATGCTCTTCCCCATGCTATCCTTCGTCTTGATTTAGCCGGTCGTGATCTTACTGACTACCTCATGAAGATCTTGACTGAGCGTGGTTACTCATTCACTACCACTGCCGAGAGAGAAATTGTCCGTGACATCAAGGAGAAACTCTGCTATGTCGCTCTCGACTTCGAGCAGGAGATGGCAACCGCTGCCTCCAGTTCCTCCCTCGAGAAGTCATACGAACTTCCCGACGGTCAGGTCATTACCATTGGTAACGAGCGTTTCCGTTGCCCTGAGTCTCTCTTCCAGCCCAGCTTCTTGGGCATGGAATCCGCGGGTATCCACGAGTCAACTTTCAATGCCATCATGAAGTGCGATGTCGATATCCGTAAGGACTTGTACGCCAACACCGTTTTGTCTGGCGGCACTACAATGTACCCAGGTATTGCTGACCGTATGCAGAAGGAGATTACCTCTCTTGCTCCAAGCACCATGAAGATCAAGATTGTCGCTCCTCCTGAACGTAAATACTCCGTCTGGATTGGTGGCTCCATCTTGGCTTCTCTCTCCACCTTCCAACAGATGTGGATTTCCAAGCAGGAGTACGACGAGTCTGGACCTGGCATTGTCCACCGCAAATGCTTCTAAGGTGTCTCCTATGATGACCTTACTCAGTGAGGAGAAAAAGCTGAACGCTTCTTTGATCTCCTTAGGCTATCATCAATCTCAATCCCTTCTAACCATTTCGCGATTATCTCATGTCTTCCCTTTCTTCCATTTGTTATGGTGTGTGCTACTGCGCTCGATAATTACTTGCTCTTAAACCATCTTACTCTTTCGTGCCTCTCTCACATTTCGTCAGCAAAATCTAACCATGCATAGAATTTAGCAATAAAAATTCTTGTTGACATCCAATCCTTTTATCTCAAGCTTTACTACACTTTTTGGGCTCTTAGAACTGAGATTTTGGGCAGCCGAACTTAGCTTAAGGAAATTCTTCTAGGCAAGCGATAAGGAAGCATACATGTTTTGGGCATCGCTCACTTTGAAATTTGTAAAGCATAGGACGTTAGGACAATTTCAAATAGAACAAATATGAAATTTCTGAGGAAACCCTTTACTGTTTATACTTCTAGACATTCTTTTCTCGAATAGTTATATTCATCTTATTTCAGAACAGTTGAAACTTGCGGATAGAATTTAATGACCAGTAATTACTGAATCAATAATATAAAAAGTGTTGACAACGGCATTTCGTTAGGACATGTTTAATTCCATTTGCCTAAAAGCACTAAACTATTTTGAAACAACGAAATTTTTATTTTCAAAGCCTATTAATATTGATCGAACTGCTTGAACTGCACAAATGAATTCAATCTATGGTATATACCTGACTAATACAACCATTATACACCTCTATAAATGGTTGCAGGTGTACCATGCATTTTGAAGATAGTACTATCCATATTTCGTATAAGTGATATGAACCAAGCATCCATTAGAAATTAAATAATCACTAGCTCTGCACATCAGGCATACGCGTTGATGACTTAGATGCTATTTTGATTTTCGCATGCATGCCAAGAAAATCGAAAACTCTCCCTCCCAGTGGTCATGCATTAAAGCCAATGAAGCTTACTGATTGGTTAGTTGGGGTGAAGGTGCGAGATTCGCTATTGGTTCGCATGCGGGCGTCATCGCTCCCTCCCTCTTCCCCCCCCCCCCCCCCCACCTCCTCTCATTCAACCAAAGGGATGACGAGATTTACAGGCCATATTTAGGAGAACTTGTGAGAAACCTACTGGGAACGCACATACATCAAAACGTGGGTATTGTACGTCACCTCAAATATTTCAGACGCATTTTAGGTGCCACCAAAAGACATGTTTCTCGAAGGCAACGTAGATAGGACCAAAGTGATTTAAAAAGATATCGCTATAGATTATTACATTAGAGAATTAGTAATCGGGTATTGTTCTGTTGGCAACTTCACTTTCTGAAACTCTTTTCTCAGTTATGATTAACCAATATCATTGGCCATGTCGTCCTTTATAATGAGTGCCGATTTGGTGAATTCTGACTTGATTGAGGCACCCGTTTCTCGCTATACCATAGGCAAGCACATAAGATGTTATTGACCTTCAGAAGTAAATTAACAACTAATCTAATTGATGCAGAATTAAGCTCATAAGTTCTGATGGTAGCCAGGAGGGATGGTGTGCAGCTAGCATAACCTTCTTATCATTTTCAACAATGAATCAGAATAAGTTAAGATAGATGATCGCTTCAAATTCAATATCTCGAATATAAGTAATATGAACTGAATTTCATGCTGTCTAGACTTAAAAACGATGTGCAACTTTAATAATCCGAATTCTAAAAGGCATCAGAAAATACAACGGACTGTCTCTCGAGGTTTTACTGGAGTTTATTTATTTATTGGCCAGAACTTTCAATTTAAAGAGAAAAAAATGAGCGATACTTTTACCCTCATCCAACGAAATGTATTGTTTATTACTTTTAACCGTAATCCCTGTCCAAGTCACTCATTAAACGTTTATCGAAGGGTAACTAGCAACTGATCTATGATTACGATTGCGTCAGCCATTTAGCCATAAACCTTACAATTACCACCGATCGCTATTCATACATAGAAAATGCTGATCTCCAAAATCAAAATGTGTCAAAATAATTACCGCAGGATAGTATGACCCTTTGACAAAGATGATCAGTTAATTCTTGTTTGAATTGTCAAAATTGCACTAGATGTCAGTAGTACCGCAACAAGGATTCGTATTCACAGAATTTTTCATAAACATACACTTATTTTGAGTCATAATTTTTTGCTTTTGTTATTTGCTATAATATTTACACGATTCAAGAAAGGACAATAAACCTCCATACAAAGGTTTGAGTATTATTTTTGTTCTGAAATAAGTATAACACTTGTGGAGTTAGATGAAATTAATGTTCTAGTCTATATCAATTCATCAAGTTGGACAAAAATATGAAACTACAAGTTCTAAGTGACTTGAATACCAACGTAGGATTTCAATGCAAATGTATGAAACAAGTTTATACCTAATTTATCATATTTAACACCCTGCCAATGATAATGCCATCGTAAATCAGAATGGCATAAGATTGCAATATTGAATTCAACTCTACTAATCGAACCTTGTCGTCAATGGCTTCCATAAGGCCTGAATAATTCAACGTGGCATGACCTAACAAGCAACTAAATTTACCTGGTAAAGACGAATCGAGGGATGTAGACTTAATGCTACCCATGAATCTGAAGGTTTCCCCTTCAAATTTGAACATTTAGATATTGAGGGTAAATTCGACTCCTTATTGCTTTCACAAAGCAAAAGAGATCAGCCTTCACTTCATCTTCATTCTTTTTCCTTTAACGTTAACTTATATCGGTAAAGATGAGTTTTGTCAAAGATAATATTAAAATTGAATGTTGATTGTCAGGAGTTAAAATGAGTGCAAATTTGACTAATTGGCAAATGCCACACTGTCTCTGCATTGTTAAAAAATAGACAATAAAATATTTTCCGTCCGTTAACGAAGTCATTGGTTTGACCTGGCAACTATGGCTAAACTGTCAGCGATAGCAGTTCCTGTCTCTAACACTATAGACCAATTTCTTTATTTATTGCAAATGGCAGGCGTTATGATAGGTATCAT